TCGAACCATCTTCTCCACCTCAAGGGCCCACTGCTGCAGGTTTTCGTTGCTGCGTTGCACGCGATCTTTAAGCTGCGCGCGAAAGACGTGTTCCAGGTGAGCGTCACCATATCTCGCCTCCAATGCCTCAAGGAGCTGCTCGTAGGTCACTTTCTTACCGAGAGCTTCCAACACGGTTAAGGCTTGGTCGCGCAGGCCTAAGGTGAGTGCAGTCATGGCCTGGTTTTTATTCCAGCCGTTTGCCTCCATGACGGCCTCGAACTGGATTTTGTAGGCCGACCAGGAAGAAGTCCCGTTGAACGGCGGCACTTTGAATCCACGTAGCGAAGGTGCTGTAGCTACTACGGGAGCTGTAGTTCCATCCCCAAGTTTGAGGTCGTCAGCGTTTTCTTCACGTAAGCCATCACGTTGTCAACCCGATTGTTCACATGGTTGATTCGGGTTTCATGTTCTTCGATTCGGGTTTCAGCTTCCGACAGGCGGTTGTCATGTTGAGCAACCCTATCCTTCACCTCCCTTATCTCTTTCGCAAAGGTAGCGTGAAAGGTCCTTCATGAGGAGCATGTGTTTCTCCTGTCGGCGGGCCTGTTCCTCTTGTCCGCTCTGCAGCTGCTCTTTCAACTGACGGACCTGTTCCTCCTTCCCGCTCTGCAGCTGCTCTTTCAACTGACGGACCTGTTCCTCCTGTCGGCCTGTTCCTGCTGCTGCACTTTCAACAGACGGGCCTGTTCCTCTCGTCCGCGCTGCAGCTGCTCCTGTAGCATCGCCATCAGAGCACCTAAGTCAGGTGCTGCAGATGTAGGAGCTACTGACGGGCCGGCAGCCTCCGTGGCTGGCAGTTGGCCCTCCGACGTCTGCGGCGTTGCACCACCAAACCTCCTCTGGTCCGTCTCCTGCTGGCGTTGACTTCGGGTACGGACACCCTCTGATTCCTCCTTAGGTAAAATAGGCGTGATTTAATCCCACTTCTGACACCAATTGTTACGAGCTTGAGGTTCGTGACAATAAAAATTGCCGATAGAATTACCTAAATTAACACTTTAATTCACTTTACACTAATTAAAGTTAAAAAACACTAATAATTAATCACATTGATTCACTTTATTCCGCTCCGAAGCTTCGCTTGTCTCGCCAACTTCAATACTTCCCCGATCGCGTATTGCATCGCCTTTATATAGGGCTCTTTCACGAAAACATCCAGAATATTCCAGAATATTCGAGTAAATACGCGCGCCAACCGACCAAGCGCAGAAAGATCGAGTGTAGAGCTTCTAGAAAGTTTAGTTCTTCAATTTGATACTAGATGGCGCTGTCGGTTAAAAATTAGTCATGTCATTATCTGGAAAGCTCTCTCCTCGCTCTGTTACCCGACACTACATGGCGCTAGTGCCATGAGATGATATGTTAACTTAGCCGCACAACAATATTATATATTATGTTTATAAATTAAAGTAATCATAAAAGCTAATATTTTGGTGTTTTGTTTGTGCAAGAGCAAGCAAAGCGAGCTCGGGACTTAGGGTACCCCGACTCGGACAGGTTAGGTTAGAAAGGGATAGCGGCGTCAAGTGAACGAGCGAATAGACCCCGCATTCTTTCACTACGCATTTACCCATTTTTTCTCACGGATCGTCCGGCTTAACTCTGTCGGCGCCACATTGAACACTGAACTGACGTTAGCTAGGCATATAATAATAATAATAATAATATTCCACAACTATCACACAACGCCATCTAGTCCCAAGCTAAGCAGAGCTTGTGTTATGGGTACTAGACACCTGATAAACATACTTATATATTTCTAAATACATAAATATTATAGATAAATACACACAGAGCATCACACAAACAATTGTCCTGGGTGGGAATCGAACCCACGACCTCCGGCATAGCAGTCAGGGTCACTAACCACTAGACCAACAGGCCAGTCGAATGTGCAGTGACAACGCTTTGGCGCGGTAATTACTTACCTAGTGTAATATATAAATCAATGTTTTTAATGTGAGTGGTATTATTATAATCGGGGACCAAATCTCTACCAAATAAAACACCTTACTCCCCCAAATTCCTGCCAAACGATTGTAAATATCGACCGGAAATGTGAACAAAATCTTGAAAAGTATGAAATTATCTCGTATATTCATTTGAATTTTACCGTTTTTACTTAGATTTATCCATAAATATTGACATTCATATTTACTACTTCCTCCGTACTCATCATCATTTCGATTTCAAGTATTTTTAGGCGCTTACTTTTCACTTTAATGCCACAAATTATATATCTACGGGTTTGTTATATTACAAGAAATACACAAAAGTATAATACTTACCCTTTTATTCCAAAATAAACAGAAAAATGGTAAAATTACTTGAACACTAGTCCACGCGCGAATGCTATGTGCATAGAGTAGAGTAATATACTTAGTATACGTGGGTGTTATTTCACGCAGTGTTGCCAGATGCCTTGAACGTTTTATCTGTATTAGAAACTGCTAAAATATGTTTTAAATCTGTATGCCATTTTAATTTAAAATCTGTATAATCAAAAAAACCAAAATAGAATTATTGGTTATCATCATCATTACTTCTTTTAAAAAACAAGGGACTAGTTTACTAACGTTATAAGGTTTAATTATCCTTATTAAATGAAAGTATACACAATTTTTTTGATAACAAAATTGAAAACATTAATTTAATCAAACAATATACGTATTAAAACTCAAGCATTTGCAACAAACGAACTAATAATAACTTCATTATTTTCAGTCATACATATTTTTGTTAAATTTCAACTGTAATTTATTATCAACCACTGGGCTATAGCAAGGTTTTATTATTATTTTATTAATAGGGCACACAAATAGATTTAAGACAATACAAAACACATTTACAGTAACAAAAATATTATAACTAGTCTATAATCCAATAAAGTGTGCACAGCAAAACAAAATATGACAAGTATGACCGAAAAAAAAAATTAATAATACATGGTATTAGTGTATACCCTGTGTGTGGGTGTGTGTACTGTATATACACATAGTAACAGTTAAAAAGACCTTTTTTATTATGATATTCGTGATTTTACATACTTAACGTAGCAACTATAGATCTTCTAAATTGTGAAATATTAGAATTAAAAATGTCCAGATCAGCGTTACGATGTCTCAGCTCGTCAAAATTTCGACACATTCGAATGACCGGATTAAAAAAAGACGTGTTGTTTCTGTAAACATCAAGGCGAAAGATTCGCGGGTTACGCAGACGGGATCGACTGTTAAAATTAATTAAATTAAGCAATTCTGGGCAATCGATGGAGGAGTGAATGATTTTGTGAAGGTAAATAAGCTCAAAATATTGTCTACGTTTATCTAATTTCGTAACTCCAAAGTAATTCACTCTTTCATTATACGATGGCAACTGGCGGATCAATCCATGTTTACGGCATAAGCTCCGCAGAAAACATCTCTGGACTCGTTCAATATTAGGTATATGTACTTCGTAATAGGGTGACCAGACTACTGAGGCGTATTCAGGAATCGGTCTCACAAGAATGTTAAAAAGATATATTAGACTAAGGGGTCTCTTGAATTCCTTCATAACTCGTGTAACAAAACCAACTAACTGATAACCACGTTGCGTTAAGTGATTAAAATGTTGCTTAAATTCTAGTTTTGAGTCAAAGATAACGCCCAAATCTTTGGCAACATTACTTTCAGACAAAGGTTGATCATTGATATGGTATGTATACTTTAGACGAGTTTTCTTAGTTGTGAAAGTTATAAAAAAACATTTACTAACATTCAAATGCATTTTATTATGAGAACACCAGGTATAAATATTGTTAAGGTCCCGTTGCAGCAAGAGGCAGTCATTAACATCATCGATTATACGGAAAACTATCATATCGTCTGCATATATTAAACATTCACTTGTGATATGGTCTACCAAGTCATTAATAAATATAATAAACAAAAGAGGGTCAAGATGGGATCCTTGAGGAACCCCGGATGTTACATGTACTGGTTTGGAGAGGAAACCTTTTATTGCAACGATCGAAATTATCCAAAATTATCCAACGCAACAAATTGCCATGTATCCCGTATGCTGCTAATTTAGCCGCGAGTATTCTATGGTTGACTTTGTCAAACACCTTTGAAAAGTCAGTATAAATCGAGTCTACTTGGCGTTGGGTAGCAAACGCTTGACAAATGTAATTTTTGTAGACAAGTAAATTACTAACGGTTGATCTACCAGTAACAAAACCATGTTGTAAGTTTGATACGCTTTGTTTACACGTGGTTGTAAATATGGTCATAAGCCAACGATTCAAAAATTTTAGCCATACAGGATAAGATGCTAATTGGCCTATAGTTTTCACATTTTGTTTTATCACCAGACTTATGAATTGGAATTACGTAGGCATTTTTCCAAACAGAAGGGAATAAGCCGCTCTTAATAGACTTATTGAAAATTATAAATAACGGCAAACTAAGTTCTTCACAACACGCCTTAACAAATAATGATGGAATTCCATCGGGACCCGGACCTTTGTGAGCCTCTAGTGTTTTAATCTTTCTAATAATGTCATCTCTACTAATGGATATATCTGATAGTGCAAGATTAGACCTGTCCGGTATATTAAATTCGGGTTCACAGTTGTCAGGTATTTCATAAACAGAAACAAAATACGCTGAAAAAAGTTCACAGATTTCTTGGGGATCTGTAGCAGTTTTAGCATCATGAGTCATAGAATCAGGGATACCTTTACTTGATTTTTTATTATTAACGAACTTAAAGAAATGTTTAACGTTTTTACCTAAACTATTCTCAACTTCATTTTGAATCGATTTGTAGCAGGCTTCAATTAAGTGTTTACTACGAGTTCTCAGCATATTGTATGTATCATAATCCCTCGGATTACCAAATTTTTTATACAACTTATGATACTTTTTCTTATCTCGAAGGCAACGAATTAGAGGAAAGTTAATTCAGTATGGATATTAGTAAGGATTACATTTTTTAAATGGTACAAACAGCAAAATTGCTGAATTAAGTTCTTTATACATAGCATCAACAGCACTATCAGGGTCCAAGTCATTTAACAGTTCATGCCAATTAACTTTTCTTAAATGTTCTTTAATTTTTTCAAAATTACATTTATGATAATTTGGTTTCAAAAGTTTACGATTAAATTTAACAAAATTTGGTTTATTATTTGTATAATTAAGATTAATTTCTATAGATGGATGATGACCGTCCAGTTTCAGTAATGGTTCTACTTCTTTTACTCTTAGTTCGTCCATAGTTGATAATACGAGATCAAGTAGACGATCATTCTGATTTTTAGAATTATTATATTGTTTCAGATCACATAATGCCATAGTATCTAAAAGAAAACGGCCCTTAGTTCCAGCAGAAGCATTTGGAATTAAACAAAATTCTAAATTAGAGATCTCCCAGTCTATGTCAGGAAAGTTAAAATCGCCTACCAATAAGAAATGTCCAGAATGGGCATTGCTAAGTATGATACTTTGATATTATTTTTTTTTTTCTTTTTTTTTCTTTTTTAAAAAACGTTACCCTTACACTAAGATTTTCTCTTGTATCGTGGGGGCAGTTTACAAACATAAATTGCACAAGGACAAACATCCAGACCCGGAACAACTATTTGTGGGCCATACAAATACTTGTTACGTGTGGGATTCGAACCCGCGACCCCCAGCGCAGCCACTCGTTGCTAAGCCACTGCGCCACGGAGTCGTCAACGTCGTGATAGTGTTTCATAAGTTTATTGATGTCGTCCGACAGAAGATAAGGTGGAAGATAACAAACACAGATATTTAATGACAAACAATTTGTAGAAATAAGTGAAACCCAAATATCCTCAAAGTTACTGTCCCAAAATTGCCTACGAGTAACAGTAAAACATTTTTTATGGCCAAGATCACACCTCCTCCCTCGTCCGCCATAAGCGCATTCCCCTCTGTCCCATCTGAATACATTATAACGCTCATCAAATAATTCTTCATTAAAAATACATTCATCTAAGTTAGTTTCGGTTAAGCAAATAATATCATATTCATTATTTAGTATATTTGTACACAGCTGATGTGTTTTGGAACGCATACGATTAACATTTTGATAGTACATTAACATTCAAGACAAAAGAAAAATACAAAACTTAAACGCAAAATAAACAAAAGCAAAAAGTGAGTTACCACAATACAAATCAATTAACTAATTTTAGCCAAGCAATCTTTGTTTTTTATATGTACTGCTGAAGAATTATCATCTTTTCTCACATATATATTCCCGAATTTGACCCACACGTATTTATATTTTCCACGAGCAGTAGCCCGTGTCAAAGCAAAAAGCTCCTTGGTTTCTGGAGAGAGATGTTCGGTTTCCGAAAAAATTGGGCATATGTCCCCTTGAATTCCTAAATGTACAGAGCTTAATGTGTTGCCAGGGTTAGCCTTATTATAACGTTTGACCGCCGACAGAAGATTATCACGATGCCGAATGGAAGGCAGCGAAAGCAAAATATTACGCGGGCGTTGGGCTGATATGGTCGGCAATTTAGCAACCCTTCGACACATACTAATTTCAGCGTCTGTCGTTGGAAGTTTTACTGTAGAGTAAATATTTTTGACAATCGTCAAAATATTTTCATTCCGTTTTTCGGGGACTGCTTGAATCTCCACGTTGTGACTGCGGGAAATTTTTTCCATGGATTCCAAACGACGATGCAGTATACTCATTTTGTTTGTTAGATCGGCATTCGTTCTTTCTAGTGCCTTGACTTTTATTTCAGCAGATTCAATATTTGACTTGAGTTCTTTTTGCCCCTGATGTAGAAAGTCTGTAGTTTCGGTAAATTCAATTTTGACTTGATCAATGGCTGTAACAATCTCCGTTTTGATTAATGATTTCATATTAATATAGAATGATTTTTTGAGTGATTCAAATTTTTCATCTAATTTAACATCGAGTTTCATATCTAGAAGTCTGGCTATACTATCTAATGTAACTTCTTGTCCTAGAGAAGGACACATAGAAGTTGATGGTTGAAGATCTAGTGAAGTTTCCGAGTGTTCAACAGAAAGAGAGTCGTCGCAGGACATTATTGAATCATTAAATTGCACTGATTTTCTAACTGGTGTATTCGAAATATCTCCCTTGCGTCGATTTGTTACATTAAAGCAATTTGGACATTTCCATTCAGATTTAGTTTGACCGTCTAATTTAAAGAAAGCAGTCTTATCCATATTCAAACATTTTAAATGGTATTCTTGCCTACAGTGCATACATAAACACTTTTCTCTTTCACCAGGAGGTGGTGGCAAATCTTTGCAGGCAATACAAAAATGTTTGTTTTCCATTGTGGTATACGTAAATGCAATAATAAAGTATAATTTGTAAAGTGGCTAATTGCGTAAATGTTTTTTTTTATGTTAACATTAGCTGGCGATCGAACCTCGACTTTTATTTGAACTAACAAAACCAAAAATTAATTAAAATAATTTGTTTGGAAAAAAGAAAAAAAAACAAGAACAAAAAGACAAATGACAATGTGAGAACCGAACCACGGTTTCCAGATGTTAGAACAGTCCTCTGCGCCGAAGCGCTTTAACTGCACGAAAATGTTGATCTGTATCGTAATATAGATGCGAGATTTTTATTGTAGTGGGTATTTAATCATAATACATTGTCCACCAAATCTATACACAACCCACTTATAATCAATATTACAGGGCCAGTCCTGAAATAAAATCATTTATAGCACTCACAGTTTTTAAGAACGGACACAATTTATATATTAACACAAGGCCGAGGAATTATGCTACGAATTATATAGACTCGATGACGTTTTAGAACTTTAACCACGAATATCAAAATAAAACTACTTTTGCACCAAACAGTTGCTTTGTATGTAAAAGATCTTCAATATTATATGTATTAAGTCTATTGCGTTGTTTTGTCTTTATTAAATTTATAGACGAGAAGATCTTCTCTACGGCAGCACTGAAATGAGGTAGACTTAAGGGGATAGAGTAAGTCGGCTCAAATTCTAATTTCGTCCCCACTTGCCCGCGCGTCGTATGCTATGTACCGACATGTTTGTAATCACTAATACTGTAAGTAGAAAGGTCGTTAGACACTTATTTCATTAGGTTTATCATATTTATGAGATTACTACTATTATTTATTTATTTTTATTACGGTTATTTCCCATTTTAATTTTACGTCGTCCTGTTGCGTAATGTATATTCTGATCGTAAGCGACACAACCTCCCTCTTCAAAGGCCGAAGCGAAGTGACCGAACGGCAGGATTCACGCTTAAAGAGGCCGATAGTTTAGGTAATTTCTTTTTACAGTGAAAATAATGGTATTTTAAAAAAGTAAATAACATAAGCACTGCTTTATAGTTGGTTCAGTTAGTATGCAAAGTTTCATGATCTTGTTTAAAGTATTTTATGAATAACAGCGGTTTACTGTTTATCTTGGAGGTAACTTTGGATTTTTTTTCTATCGAGAAAATTTTACGAAATCGTGTTTTCGTCTAACATAATCCTTAACATTAATCCTCAACTTTACCATATATTTATTTCAAAATTAATGATGCAATATTTTCGGCATAACGAAGGATCTTGCTAAGCCATTTGAGATTATATTTCCCCTTAAGATTGCAGAAACAAATTTTGACAGCGTAAGATATAATTGAAATCAGAAATCAGAAATATTTATTGACCTTAACATAACAATCGTTACAGGCAAGTCATTGGTTACAAAAGTTTTAATAAATTTATAAGGTTAAATTATATTATTGTACTATTTCCTTAATTTATATACATTAATGCTTTACGTCATAGAATTAGGTAATTTATTTTGTTTACACGTTACACAAGAATGACGATTCCATGAGTTGCATTGACTTGTATTCGCTTAATTTGTAAAATGGGTTGTTCTCAAAAAAATACTTAAGTGTATGTTTAAATTTGCTATAATGGCTACTTTTTGGTAATTTATTATACATCAATATTTTTGAGTAACGCCCATGTTTTTTTTTACTTTTACTAATCTATTCATGGGTAGAACACGTTTTTCATTATTACGCAGATTGTGTTGATTTATGTCTCTCTTTTTCGGTATTTCTTTATCCTCATGTACCTCTAATAAGCTATTATATATATAAAGCGAAACCACTGTCATTATTTTGTCGTTCTTAAAATGTTTTCTTGTCGGGCTACGTTTTTTCAGACCATTGATTATTCTTATAGACTGTTTTTGACATTTTAAAATTTTGATTGCTGTAGTTAGCAGGATCATGGGCTGCAAACCCACTGGTGTAAAGTCGCACACCAGTGGGTTTCGAGATCTTCTGATTCATCAGGTGTTAAATCTTTATTATTACGCAAAAACTGCCACTCTGTGTCTAGTTCTTGCAGTTCGTCAACTGAGATCAAATTTGGAAACTTTACTGCCAAAGTGACCAATGAATCAATTCTATGAGACTTGACAGATCGTGGGTCAAGAAACTGCATTTGTTTAAAAACATCATTGCTGAAATCGTACCTTTTTTCTACCTGATTTGCCCCTTCAATAAAAAAAGTCAAGGCATTTAGGTTTGAATGCTTCAATATCTTCTTGGTGAAGAGCGTTTGAACTCGTAGAGACAACGGTGGCTGAAACCTTTGCTGCTAGGTAAAGGTCATCTATTGATCAGAAAATGAAGTGGATTGTCAATTTGAATTAAACCGACTTCACTTCGCGAAACGTATGCGTCGTCCATGTAACATTCCAGTAAAGTTTTAAAAACAGTCACCGTGTTTTCATGCATTTTATGAAGTTGTGGCCGCTCTGACTGCATCAGCTTATTCATTTATTAAATATCTCTAAAGAAAACTCCAGAAACTCTTAATACATGTTTTTAAATATTTACGTATTACCTACGCATACACAATACGACGAATGCGAGAGCGAAGTACCTTGGACAGCGCGCAAATATCTTTTGGGGATTTCCCGAGCAGAGCGAGTGACACTTGTAATGCTGCCATACTAACTAATTACGTTATGAAAAAATAAATATAGAATCATGCAATGATATGTCTCTTATTACAAACTAATAAGAGACATATCATATGTGTAACGCGGTATCTAATCATATACCTTTCTTCATTTTGTTTTAAGGTGAATATTATGGTAGTTTAATCAATAGCATTAGAAAATTCTGTATAAAAATCTGTATCAAGTGCTAATCTGTATTACACACCGAAAATCTGTATAAATACGGAGAAATCT